ACAGAACATGATTTTAAAGGAATTACAAGATGAATATATAAAAGTGGGATTTGTGGTAAGAAAATAAGTTGTTTGGGTTGGAAAAGGTTCGTTAAGAAATAGATGGCTGCGAGTGCTACAGAACACCGAGTGCTACACACCTCTTCCAACAAAGATAATACCAATAGGTAAGTGTAATGATTGTGTTAATAATATAATATTTACGATAATGATTAATTATAAAAAATAAATTTTGACTATAATGATTAAACGGCTGTGTGCAGCAATAAAAAATAATACTAAATATTGTATCTTAGTTTATTACTATAAAAAATTCATTAACCTCACTTTATCATGCGGTTTACTAGCATTATGTATCAGATTAGTTACAGTGCGCAAAAATTGTTATTGTTATTGTTTTTGTTGTTGTTGTTGTTGTTTTCAAATTTAATAAAATTTAGGCTAAATTCTGAAAACAACGAAATCAGTCCACTTTTTTTTTCTACCTTTATGTCTTTTGTAAGAACGTTCATGTGATGTTTTCATATGAAGAATCTTATTTCCAGATATATATATATTTAAATGTGTATGTACATTTAACACAAGATGATTTAAATATAAATAAAATTAATGCAGAACACTTTACTTGTTTGAATTAATTTGAATTACAATATTTTTGTAGAAATTTTTTTGTATTTCTTTTTGTTTGCTTTTTTTTTTTTTTTGAAATTACGTGCAAATATAAATTATTTACTCTTAAGTGCAATACTTCGCATCTCGTCTTTGTGTTTTATAATCTTGAGATATAACAATATCTCGTCGGTAAGGCGAGACTAGTGTCTCTATCTAATGCGAAGTTAAAATTTGTTTGCTTGCAAAATAATAAAAACTTTTACTTGTTACTTGCTATACATTTTTGTCATGATTTCTGGAAATGAACCTGACAATTTTATTGCGAGATACTTTTTATAGAAGTAAAAAATTATAATGCCTATCTGTGTATTTGAACCGAAAGATTAGGATCTATGGCTGTTTTGATAACCAAAAAAGACTTACAGAGTGATTGTGAGATGTGAGGTTAATTTTAAAGGATATGAAGAATATTTTATGAATATTGTCTATTAGTTTGGAGTTCTTTTATTTTGAAGAAAGTGATTTCATAAAATCCAGGCATAAGATTTATAACTAATATGTTATTAAATTAATTTAAAACTAATAATTTTTTAAGCAAATGTATCCTTTTAAATTTATATATATGAAAATTTATTATATTGTTTGAAATTTGATATTATTTTAAATAGAAAATTATCATTTATACAATATGATTTGGTAATTATTAAAAATTTAGATATAAAATTAATGAATATATGTAATTTGTTATATTATATATGAGGTACGACATTTATTTGTAGTTTTATTTCACTTAATACTATTAAGTTCGATCTCTCTTCGGTCATCGTTTTTTAGATGTTACACCCATGAAGTAAGTGATCTGCTTTATTAATCTGATAATGAATTAAAAATTAAATGCATTCTATTCTTCAGCCTATACCTTAGATTCTGAAGGTTTCATGTATGATTTATAGAACATTAAGTTGAGCTAAAGATGTATTAATATGTTGTAGATAATCTTATGAAATTATTATAAATTTTGTGTGATTGGACAACCATTATACCACATTGAGGAATAATAGAAAGTTTGGATTATGAAAATGCTAAAGTTTGGATGAAATACTAAAATTAAGAAATGAGAAGAAAAAGTATTAGATAAGCAAAGATGTGCATATTTCAAATTTTTTAAGTAAAATAATTGTTGCTTTTTTTTTGAAATTATATGGTATGAGGTACATGTATACTAAATAATAGGCTATGAATGCACTACAACCTAAAAGATCTATTTACAAATAAAATAGTTATTTATATGTTCCTTACAAGTAAGCATTATTAGGTATTACTATTAACATAAACTTTTATGTTATGAGTATAAAATATAATACACTTAAAATGCTCTTACTATATAGAGCGTTTATGTTTAAAACATCAGAAAAAATGTTATAAAGACTTATACATTATCCGTAGTAAACCTATTACAGAATTTTTGATAAATGTGTATGAATTTATCATTTTAAAATAAATAATAAATTATATAAAATTAATATATATGAGTACAATATACAATTTAATAATATAATGGAAAATTTAGCTTTACTACTGAACTACAATATCTACTAAATTTTTGTATTTTAATGCTAAAAGTGGGCAAATCTGCACCTTAATAATTTATTATTAAAAAAATATTTAAATGAAATTAAATTAAAAATATAAATATCAAGTAAAGTTCTAACAATAATATAGATCCTATATATAATCAAAATACGAATAGATATGTTTTTAATATGAATTTTAAAAATTTCATCATCTTTTGCAAAATTGTCAGGTAAAGTTGCTTATTAGCACATATAAAATATCTGTAATGATTATTCAAGTTGGTATATTACTTTCTATATAAAAAATAAAAAAATAATTCATTAAAATAAATACTTTCATAATATGTTCGAAATCAAAGTGAAAGTTAAAGTGTAAATTCTAACCTGTACGCCTCTAGTATAAAGTGTGGGAATATTATTGTTATTATATTAGCGCCACCTATATCATATCCAGATAGGAAATAAAACGTAAAGTCGCGAGACTTGCAACGAAAATGATAAAGCCAAGTTGTCTCCTCAAATTCCAAATGAATGAACGAGTGTATAATAAACGTGTTAAATGTATACGCGTATGTAAATATGTACATGATAAATATGTATGGTGGGAGTGCTGGTATCACATTTTTGATAGCATCCTCAGATCGTAAAATGATAAACCGAATTTATACTAAGCGCTATAATTAAATAATTTAAGAAACCTGACAGTTTTGTTATCATATTTTATGAATATTTGTCTTAGTAACACTCAAATTAAGCAGGGGGCAGTTGGCATTATATTAAAGTATATGACTAAATATCAATAAGTAGCTTTAAGGAGGGAAAAATGTAATAAAACTAAATATAGTAATAGTATTTATTATTATTACATGTTATTTATTAGCACAGACAAAAAGATATTAAAATATCTTTTGGAAAATTCTAAAATATTAAGTAATTTAAGTAATATTAAGAATATTAATTCTTAGTTACTTAAGACTAGGTATTTTTGTAAGTTTAACGAATAAAATAAGAGTAGTAAAGTATTAAAAGATATATTAGTTATAATATATATTAGTCACTATGGATTCATAAAAGCTATTAAAAGTTTGAAAATTATTACTAGAGTTACATAAAAAATCTACAACTTTATAGTATTAGTACTTTTTTGACGATTAATATAATTGGACTAGCTTAAACTACAAGTTTAGATATTTTTTATAGATCGGTTGTTCAATGGTGAAAAAGATTTAAATAATTTAATATCGTAATAATATAATTATTTGTATTTCTATAGATAAAATTACTTAGTCGATCATAGAAAGCCTACGAAATTATTATATGAATACTTATTTAACGAAAAATTTGATTGAACTGATGCGAAGTATCGTTTGTTCAATGACGAGATCAAATATACCCAGTCGAAAAATATATAGAATAGAGCCTTGAAGCTATTCGCGAAAATCTAGAGGATACCCTACTTAGAACTATCTTATCTTAGAATAAACTTTAGCTGCACGGGGTGGTACGCAGATCTTAGAACAGTCGTCGACTAATCACAAAGGCTTTGAGAAATACATAAATTAGTCAGTGACAAGGGTGGGACTCTGCAGAAACTCCCAGCTATCAAAGAGTTAAGTCCCCACATGCAGTAACACGAAAAAGACTCAAAATGAATTGAAATGAGTATAAAATAGAAAAAAAAAGAAAATATCTCAGTTTTTAATAAATAAATTGAATATAAATCGTTTATATGTTTGAAAATTGAAGAGTTGAAAACCAGGGCTGTTTACTCGTTCTGCCCGAAAGCAGTTTTAAAAGGATACCTTCGAGTAGTTAATAAATTTGAATCAAACTAGGAGGTGAATCACTATGGGTTCACATTAAAAAAAACAGAGAACTGAGGTAATGTAATTCAGATTATTCTCGAAAAAATTGAATCAAAAAACAAATCTTTGCGTTCTACGGATCTGTTAAAAACATTAACTAATTTTACCATTATCCAACTTTTAAGAACGAAAAGGATTAAAAAGATTATGCAATAGAAATGTTGCTTAAAGAGAATTATTTTTAAGAAAAATTTAATAATATATAGTAACTTTAATATAATAAGTTTAAAAGAGAAACAAGCAATCCAATAATATTACTAAGCCTCACTAATACAAATGAATTCTTACACTCATTTTACACTAAAAGTTTTTCAAACAAATACATAAGCACAAAATAAATTCTGCCATGCAACACATATGAAGCACAGAATGTATGTAGAAATTTTTATGTGTTGTAAATTATGATTGAATGACATATGTATGTATATATAAATGAAAACTGAGAAACAAAATCAAACTTACACTGAAGTGCAAATAGCACAGCATATTGGTTTTCATTGCGATCTAAAACAAATACAAAAGCAATTTGCTTTTGTAAGTAAAACTGTTCACCAATGGATCAACAGATCAGCAGCAGCAGCAGAGCAGTTACAAATCTGTATGAGTGCAACTTTTCGGTTTTTACTGCTGTTGTGTGTATGAAGCTTTGCCGCTCTTCTGTGCGTATAGCTTCGGATTTACGTGTGGGGGAGTATAAGCCGTATATGCGTTTGCGTTTGCAAACTTACCGATTAGATTATTTGTTGGTATTTGTGGCCGAGTCGTTTTTGTTCGGGTATTTCTGGTTTGTATAAAAGGAAACTGCGAGCGTAAGACGATCAGTTTATGTTTGATAAATCTTGATATATGTCAATTGTTGAGCATAAATTTAAATTAAATTTTGCTTGAATGTCCTGTGCAATTAAAAAAACAATTAGAATTATTATTAAACGTTTTTAAAAACGTTTTTTAAGTTAAATAACATTTCTAATTTTAAAAAGTTTAAAATAATAAAAAAAGTGATTTTAAAAAATGGTGGCTCACGATAATGGTGAAAAGGAAGCTAAAGGTGAGTTTGTTTAAGTATAATTTTATTACTTTTTAGAAATTTAATTCAATTGTTTTATTTAACTATTTTTTTTTAAATTATTTAATATTTAATAATATTAAATAATATTTAAATAAATTTTATTTATATAAAATTTTTATTGAAGAATTTAACAAATATAACGTTTAATAAAAAATATTTAAAAAAACATTTAATTTCAAATTTTATTTGCAGTTAAATATTTAAATATATTTATACATTTTATTAATTTAAAAAATTATGTTAACTGTATTTTAAATAAATTTTAATTATAGTTTTTATATTAATGGTAAATATTTTTGTGGTCAGAAGTGAGTTAAAACTATAAGTTCAACTAATTTTATATACATTTTAATAATACTTTCTATCATTTTGCTAATTTTTTTTTATATACGGGTGTGTCTTATAGTTTAAACTAAATAAAAATTTTATGTTAAGCCATGACTACATGGTGAATATAAAAATTATTTGGTTAGATGAAAATAAAAATGTGTTGCAATTAATTGAATAATTTTAAAAGTTTCTACTATGAGTAAAAAGAAATAATAAGATAATAAAATATTGAAATTTTTTACTGAATTTTTTTTTATAAAAGTATGAAATATTTAAAATATTAATATTTTTATAATTTTGAATATTATAGTTTTTCCGTTCTGTAATTTTAATAATTTATTTATTTTAGTTTTTATAATTTTTATAAGACTAATAATTTTCTTCATTTTATTTGTACTTAAAGTGTTTTTATTTTTAAAAATAGTAACTTATTATTGTGAAATTATTTATTTATTATTTGAAAAATGTGAATTTGACATCTGATTGTGCAGTTTTCATTAATAAATAGAAAAGGTGATGATTTTTAGAAAAACAATTTTTTTAATACTAATTATATGAAAAAATTTTTTTTCTTATATATAAGTCAGAAACATATAAAACATATAAAATATTAAAATTATATTGTCCTGTGTCAAAAATTCTATTTCGTATAAAAATAAAGTAATTATTTTTAATTAAATGATTGATTACATATTTGAAATATGGTAAAGAAATTTTTATTTTAATTAAATAAATTTCAAAAAATTGAAAGTTAAATATTCTTGTCTTTTTGCAAATAAATAAAAAGAAATTAAAAAAAAATTCGAACCCGATAAAAATAATACGAGTATGTATTAATTAAAAAAATAAACTGTTACACAAAATTAGTTTGTTCTTTTTTTGTTTTAAATTTATTTCCAACAACTTGTTTTTAATCATACTAGGAAATGCTTTATATCTGCTTTGTCATTGTCCAGTAGATAGACAACGTAGGTTAAACATGCTCTAGATAGTCATAGGCTTGCTTTCTAGATAGTCTTAGTCAAAGCCAATATCTTCCTTGAATATGTTTTCTAAGTTTTATTAAACGTTCAAAAAGCTATTAAATAAAGCAATACTATGACCCTGCTGGTTATATAGATCTATAGTGTGTATCTATGTAATAATTTTATCTAACCTAAAATTAGTCTATATATATAAGAGGTCAAAACTGATCGATCGTATATTCTATTAGAACGATTTTTCTTCTTATAGTTCACTACTTTTCGAAAATTTCTTTATTAGAAATTGCTTAAATGTGTGGAAAATTTCCAATTGTTTATCTTACATTATATAATATTATATAATATATTTACACGTGCATAAAGTGTACTATATATAGGTGGATTTATATATAAAAATCTGTAATTCGAACTCAATTATAAACATTCACATAAAGACATATGTATATCGAATATCTGTTTTATAAATGAAATGTGAGAAAGAAGGGATTAAAATTCCAGATAATGCAAATAAATATCTACTTATGCATTATTTCTATTGAAAAATAATTATTTATGTATAAATACTCAGACAATGCGCGCAAAAACTTTATAATAAACAAATTGCTTTTTATTTGATCGGGTGACATTTAATATAAAGTAAGCAAATTTTAATAGTTAACGACAAAACAGATATCCTCACATTTGTATGAAGTCTTAAGTTAAAATAGAAGAAGACTCGATTTCATCATGATTGTTGTTGTTTATATAGAACCACCTCTAAGCTTGGTACTACAAACCATATTTTTTAAAACAATCTGTATTTAAAGTAATTTACTGAAGATCAATTTGCTTGACAAAACAAAAAAATTAATGGGAAATAATCTACATACAAGCAGAGAAACTATTTCACTAGATATAAGATACTTTAGTATCTTATGGTACAGAAGACACACATTTAAATGAATATGCACATGTTATGCACTTAGCGAGCCCCTTTCTCTAATGAAGAACAATTAATGATTACAATATTTTTTTTCTTTCCTAATCAAGATCAATATCATTGCTGAGTACAATTTGCATTTCGTCGTTTTTAACTCTTAATTTATATACGTAGTAGATACTTTTTATGCATTGTTTTGATAACAGTTTTCAGTTAATGTCTTTGCAAATATTTTGCTTATGACGTTATGAGAATATTTCAAAAGTCGGATGTGCTTATCAAGAAGATGTAGTAGGTATTTATATCAAATAATGATTACAGCTTTCTGTTTCTTTTACCAGTTTTTTTTTTTATTTTTTAAATAATATTTTGTATATAGTATCAAAGTGATTATATCTGAATGAGGTGTTAATTACTCACATCTGATAAATATATTTAAGTACATACATACGCGTACTTAAAAAAATATGAGTATTTATTCTTCTGTAGATTACAGTTAAGCCTATTGGATGTATGATATTTGAATAAACTATTTAAAATTAATTTTTGGCACGTTTATTTAATTTTCAATTTATAACTTAAATCCATCTAAGTTGTATCGAAATAGACTTGACAATTACTATGTAAACAGGTGAGACTGGAACTTAAATTAAAATAGTTTTTCTATATGAATCATTATATTGCAACATTATTAAGTATTCATTATGCAAAATTAAGTTTCAAGAAAATATAAACAAGAAGAAGATTTGAATACAGTTCAACAATATAGTCCAAATAATTAAAAAATTAAAGAAAGTCGGGATTCCGCTGTGTAAATAGTTATCCGATCTAGAAAAACCTAACGCGTATGAAACTTATTATCAGATACTCAATAGTTATGAACAGAGATTCCTATATCAGTTTCTAACAATAGAATATCTATTTATTACTATAAAAGCTTTGTAGATTATACACGTGGATTGCCATAAAAATACTTCATTGCTAATTAATTATGTCGTTTTGTTAGTTTACTATTGATGTATTGAATTATAAGATTTGTGTTTTCAGTCTTTTAATCGACTTTTTCCAAATATCTTAGAATATCAATTTTATAGTAGACTTACAAGATTCTTGTCAGATTTTTGAGTTCTGCAAGCAAATTAAAATATATATCTTCCTAGTACAACGGAAAGAAACACCTAGAAGGGTATTTAATGGATCGTAATGACTCAAGACTATTAAAGATAGACTTCATACTATCTTTCATTACAGAAATCGGACTTGGAGAAATACTCCAATCTGACTAAGTGGTACAATAGATCTTTTAGGTTGCAGTGCACGATCCCCTTCTTTTAATAATTAATAACATTTAATTACTTAAAATCTTAATACTTCAAGTGTGTTGTAAAGCTAATAGTTTGACGTTATTTTAACTACAGGAACATTTTAAGTACAGCAGAAAGGTCAAATTGAAAAATTTTTTGGTAATCCTTTCATATATTTAAGAGAAGCAAATAATGAACATTCCCCAGAAGGCATTAAACCCATGTAATCGTCATGGTGTAATGTATAGTCTCACATAAGTTATTGATTATAAGTCACGCGCGATAAATAATTGTGCCACTTGTAATGTTTAGTCTACAAATTTATAGTCTAACCTATAAAAATATGTTAATTTGTTTTATATATTAATGTAATCTCTTTTTACTTAAATACAATTAGTTTATAAGAACCTGAAAATGAACGTTATTTTGTTTAAGATTTGGTTTTATGTGTCAATGTATTATCCATCCACTTTGATACAATGATTCCAATATTTCGTATACCTTTCTTATAGAACTATGTATGTGTGGATGCCATTAAAATAAGCTGTTTTTTCGGCATTTCCTTCTCTATTCGTGTTTACTACAGTCATCTCTCCTTCTGGGTTTCGGACAAATAGTTGGCGTTGAAGAACAAATATGGAAAATACTTTAGGTGGGAATGTCATTTAAAGTTTTATTTATAATTCTATTTATATATTCTATATTTGGTTACAACCAAATTTACTTATAAGAAAATATGCTGTTACATCAGATAAAGTCATCTAGTGGAGTTGTGGGTGTAATTTAAGGTATCATTTAACCAGCCAGTAGCTTTAAATCTATACTACTATAAAGAGCATTATTTATTTAATTGAAATTAAATTATTCAATTTTTATTCAGAATAAATATATATGTATGTATTATATTTTTATATATCTATTATATATTTCTTTATATAAAAGATTTGATGTTGGTTATCTATTGAAAGATGGATAAAATTGAAAAAAATTAAATAAATAATTGAATATTATATTGAGCCATACATAAAAAACAGTATCGTTAGATAACAATTTTGAGGTATTCCAAAATAAAATATTTCTTTACAAACTTCGGATATAGTAACTATTTCTTTATTAGCCATTGAAAAAACAGAGAAGAGTAAAAGAAATAGCAACACATTTTAGAGAGTTTCTCTGAGTACAATAATGAATAATACATGTAAAGGCAAAGCCGCTCAATAACTGAGTAGGGGGAGAGTAACTATAACACAATGTATATACATATATGTGTTATAGATGGAAGTGCATCCAATACACTTGCTTAAGCTGAAAGCTTCTCTATAGATGTATAAGTGCAAATGGTGAGCTTAATATCTGCATATGTATTGTAAGCTAATTTGTGCTCGGGTCTTGTGCTCTTTTGATCATACGTTTCGTTTATATTTGTATTGGTGTTTGAATCGTTTTTATTCGGTTATTGGTGTTTGCTATAAAATATCGTTTTAAGGAGTTTGCTGATCAGTTTATCTTTGATAAGCCTCGATATATCTTAAATGCTGGAAATTGAAGTTAATTGTGCTCAGAAATTAAAGATTTAATTAATATTTTTTTAAACTTTTTCTATTAAAGTAACATTAAAATTAATATTTAAACATTTAAAGTGATATTAAATGTGCATTGATATGCTGTTTTGGAATAAATTTTTAAAAATGGAAAAAAAGGAAGTTAAAGTATTGAAAGGTTAGTTGAAGTTAATTTTTATCTTTAATAATTTAATAAATTGTTGATTTAGTTTTATAAAAAGTATTTATGTGATTTCTCATTATTCTCCTTAAAGACGGTAGTAGTAGTAACTATTATCACTTTTTTGATGTGAGGTATCTGGAATTATTCTATCACTAAAATCTATTACCTAGTACTATTTGATTGCAGAATTATATTATAGATTTATACTTAACAACTCTTTGGTTTAACATCTAGAGATCAGTTGTTCATCTGTGTGATTCCAACTATTAATCTTAAAGTGTTCATCCCCTCATCTACTACCTAGTACTGTTTGATAACAGAATTGTATTTTATATTTATACTAAACAACTTTTTAATTTAACATCTAGAGATTAGCTGTTCATCTGGGTGATTCCAACAATTAATCTCAAAGTGTTCATCCTCTCGGTTATTGTTATTTCTTAGATTTTACTGTTATAGGGTCTTATTTGTAAGAATGCATATCTTATATATTTTCGTTTAATACATAATATTTATATATTAGATTTGCCTGTTAGAGTTCTATAAATACGTAAATTTTTAAACGACTTTGTCGGTTTGAATTTATCGATTTTATTGTTAAAATTTTTCCACTAAATTTAATATTTAATTAACTCCTTTTGAGAGTTTAAGTTTCTTTTTCTTTATGTATTTATGTAATAAATAAATAAAAACATTATAGAAAAATTTGCTTATGTATTATTATTATGTGTCTATATATGTACATATAAAACCAGAGCTCGTGAATAGGTATTCACGTGAAATCGTAAATATCTGTTTTTACTTAGAAGCTTGAGAAGAGGAGTCAAAACAGATCTATGGTTTCAAATTCAGTAAACAAAACGCAGACATATTTTAATATAAACAAATGACGATTTTCTTGGAAAAAAATAAACTTCTCGGTAGGAAATAATCACTTCAAAACTATAAACCATATTTATACTTCGGTTTGTTTACATAAATATCAATCTTCAATAAACTCATAAGCTTAGGCTTATACGGTGATCTGTATAATCATTTCATCATAAATATTTTTTTATTGTTCTTTTAGTTCCTATTAATTTAAGCGTTAACTAAAATTAAATCCATAATGTTTACACAATGACGTATTTTTACTATAGTATCTTAAATAATTAAGATACTATAATTGAAAAAATATTAATATTTTTTAATACAAACTAATTAAATTAATAGTAAATTTTCTACTTAAAATAAGTTTTATTTTAATATGTAACATAAATACACATTAGAGAAAAAGGGACAATAAGGACGTCTACTCATCCGATCAGATTCTAATTTATCGCCTAATGAATTTAAAAATAAAAAATTTTTTAAACATTTCTTATTTTAAATATTGATTTATTTTATATTAGTATTACTAATGTTTATGCTCAAATTTTATCGTTTTAATAACGTTTATCTAAGTTTTACGTATTATTTTGATGGAAGTTTTGATTTTTTGGAAATGCAAATATTTTGCTTATAACATCGTAAGAATATATCAAAAGTCGGATATGTTCATCAAGACGATGTCGTAGTTATTTTTCTGTTAAATATCTTAAATCTTGTCACCATAAGATGAGTTGATTCTTAGAAACATGTGAGACAAAATAAATGTTTGGCTAATAGTTTTATGACTAAGCTAGTTTTTAATCGTCTTCTTGTGATATACAAACATATAATTACCTATATATATGCTGTATAAATAAATTTATTGAATACAAAGTCTAGAAGACTTTTTATTTATCAGATTTAGTTTTTGGTTTATTCCATAAATGATCGTATCTCATTGTGATATCATTTAATATCAAGTTGAAGATAAATGTTGAGAGGCCTTTTTCTTGAGACCCCCAGAAATAACAGAAGTTTCGGTTCTCATCGCAAGCTTCTTTAGAATAGCATTAAGTATTTATTCATAGCAATTCTAGGTTTGCTATTTTGGGTCAATTTTCGAATTAATAGCTCAAAATGAATCAATTCCTTTTATATTGACATAATAAAAAATAAACTTCATAGTGCCCAATTAAGAGTAATACGTTTAATATCATTAATTATTCAGTTATTTACTCTTAATTTGAAATTATCAGAACCGTTGCAAAATTATCCCTAATTATACTTTCAATTATCTTAGTGATTAGTGACAAGAAAACTTTTTATGGTATGGATATTCCTTATTCGAAACTATCTATATTATTTTAAACAATTAATTTTGTTTGAGAAAATTTTGAGGTCTTCCAAATAAGTTTCTAATAGTTCTTTTGGGTTCTCAAAAAATGTTTTGCTAAGAATTTTGGACCTGCCCTTATTAAGGCTGAATATCTGCACAATAGATAATAGTTTTTTCCTACATAAAAATAAATATATATATATATAAATTTATATATCGATTTATTAATGAAATTTAAAATTTAATAATTAAAGAAAGTTTTTTTATTTATAATTTGTTTATTAATTATATTAAATAAGATCTTTATCCTTTTTATTTGCAGCTCCAAATCGTAAGTCTTTAATCTGAATAAATGAAATGGATTTAATGGCAGTAATCGTATTGAATTATACTCAAAATCATATCCTAGTTCACAGCAAATTAATATATTTAATATTTTAAATTAATATTTAAAACTTGCAATATTATTATTATTTGTAGCTAAAAAATTGAAGATGACAATTGCAATTATTGAAAATGGAATGATAAAAGTGAAACGTCCACGTCCCACTGACCGCACTGAGTACTTTGAACGCGCTTTGAAACTGACAAGTAAGTATTAATATTGAGATATATTAATTAATATTTTATAAATACATTTCTTACTTCATTTAGAATTTGGCTTATTTAACTATATGATGATCTTCGTTTGCGGTGTTATACTCGCAAATGTTTTATTGGAGACTCTTGGCATCAGTTTTGTTTTACCAGTTTCGGAATGCGATTTCCCACTTACTACAACACAACGTGGCGTCTTGGGCGCTATTGGATTTGCCGGTATCATATCTAGTTCCCATTTGTGGGGTTTTCTTGCTGATACCACTGGACGTCGCAACATCATTAGACCAACTTTGATCATGGGTTTTTGCTTAACTGTGTTTTCCAGTTTTGCTCAAAATTTTTGGGTAATGGTGGTTTTAAGATACCTGAACGGGTTTTGGTACGGTTTATGTCATTTATTGTTTTCGAAGGATACTTATTGATATATATTAATTTTTTCAATAGTGTTTCTGGTGGTTCAGCTACTGTGTATGCCTATTTGAGCGAATTTCACACCTCTAAACATCGTTCTCGTGCAATTATGGGTGCAGCAATTGTTTTCGGCATTGGATCTATGTTGATGCCAGCCGTTGCTTGGTTAGTCATTAATCAGGATTGGAGTTTGCCTTTACCAGTGTTCGGTATGGTTTACAAACCATGGCGTTTGTTCATGATTGTCTGCGGTATACCAGGTTTTATAAGTGGCTTAGCTTTGTTTAAACTTCCTGAAAGCCCGAAATTTTTGTTAAGCCAAGGCAAACAAGCTGAAGCACTAAAAGTATTGCGTACCATATATCATATAAATTCGGGAAATCCTAAAATGCAATATCCAGTAAGTGTGGAATATTTAAGCTATATATAAGATTTGAATTTTTATTTCTATTTAATAATTTTTATTACTACAGGTCACCACAGTTTTGATTGAGGATTTGAATTCGTATTTGCCAAAAGAAAATCAACATTGCACTGGTTTCAAAGCCCTACTTCGCTCCATGTGGCAACAAACCCAACCGCTTTTCGGACGACAATATTTATTTTCCACCTTGCTTATATGCATTATACAATTCGTTACATTTTTTACATCGAATGGCTTGTATATTTGGTTCCCAGATATACTTAATAGCGTCGGCGAATACATGAGCTTGCATCCAACTCATAAATTCTACCTCTGCGATGTAGTCTATGAAAAGCAACGGAATTTATATAACTTTAATGAAGAAATGAAATATCTTGAGATGTTTAATGTTAAAAGTTTTGGAGTTAAAAAATGTAATGAGAAGCTTGAGTTGAACACATTAGAACAGTCTTTGTTGTTGGAGATTTTGTATGCCGTCGGATTTTCTGTACTTGCCGTGATTATTAATTGTGTTGGAAAACGTTCTATATTATGTGAGTTATCTTTATGAATAATATTAGTAAATATTTTAATATGATGATAATTTTTATTTATATAGTTGGCTGCTTGGTATTTTGTGGACTTAGTGGTATTGCTGTCATTTACACTGATATACCTTTGATTTCTACCAACTTGTATCTGGTTCTTCTTCTTTGCGGTTTGGGCATTAATGTTTTAAGTGCAACAACTGTTGAAATCTACCCTACTAAGCTCAGGTTAATATATAACTGCATATACCATAAATTTTCAAATAGTAACTAATTTTGATAAAAAAATTTAATATTACAGAGCTATGGCCGTTTGCATCTCATTGATGATGGGTCGCTTGGGTAGCGTTGTTGGTGTCAATGTTTTTGGTACACTCCTCACTCAAAATTGCGAAACTGCTTTTGTCATATCCGGTGTCACTTTGATATTGAGCGGATTTCTTGGTTTCCTCATACCTTCACCAAGCAAGTTCATCAATCAACGCTATTCACGCCGTTCGAGCGTTGCTTCGATGACTGGAAATTAAATCATTAAATTAAAACAATACATTTTTTTCTATATTTACTTACTCGAAACAAAAATTTAGATCTAAGCAATGAAAACTGATAACGAAACGCATAAGATTGGAAAATTTAGATTTAAGAAAGTAATCATTTTTATATGAAATGCAAGAAGCACATATGCTTAAAAATCAAAAAAAAAAAAACGAAACAAAAAATCCAAAAAAAAAATTTAAAGAAAAATTCAGGAAAAAATAAGATAAACAATTTAAAATAAAATATTTGAACTCTACGGCTGTTCTAAATCTTTTGGAAGTGATTATTTTTTGAAAGAGCACTTCACTAATTTATCTCTTCAAAAACTTTTCACTTCCAATTCCTATAGAACTGCCTTCTTGTGTTAATGAACTTAGTATAAATTTTCTTATTTTTATTATGAGTAGTTTGTGCTAAGTTCATTAGTATTTATACAATATTAAAAAATACATACACTGCAATAATAATTTAAAGCATCATATATCAATAGCAAATTATAAATCTTACACTTCATTTTGTGACTCCAAATGGATTGCAAGGAACGATATTACAATTGAAAAGGACTGACATTTAAGGTTAAATTGGTGCGTTGGGTTACGATTGCAGTATAAACTGAACAATAATTGCAAAAGGCTGATTAATATTTGATACGGAACATTACACATTAACTATCTGAATATGAACATTGTTAAACATATATTTAATCCATTATATTATTAGTCTGTAGTTTGTAGCTTGGGTTTAGTAGTGCGTTAGTGCAATGGGAGTAGTGTTAGTTTGTAGTATGAATATATTCAATAAAGAATAAAATAATATAAAATAAATAAAATCTTTTTTTAAATAATTTTATCTCATATAAAGTTAAATCATATTACTATTAATTAATTTGTTATTATAATAATAGTATAGTATAATAGTATAATTAATATTATTACTATACTATTATGCTTATGATACGGTAAAGAAAAAATCGGAGATCCGATAAATTGTACTAATATTACTTTAATCGATGATACAAAATGACTCATTCTCTTTTGATTTGGTTGTAAATAACAGTAAAAAAAACATCGGAGACTCGATAAATTTATTCGATTTATTCGTAGTAATCTTTAGCTGTTCGATGATATCAAATGTTTCATTTTTATGGTGGTACTCGTGATAATTAACGCTGATCTTAAATCCAAGCAGTTGGCTGTCATATAGTGAAAACGTTATAAATTAAAAACGTGATAAATTGTACTAATCTTTATATATTCCATTCCTATCAACACCGATCTGAAAGTATGACTGAAGAAGAAAACATAGGGAAGGCATTGATTCATTCTGTTTTCTATTTTTTTATTTTAAAATGAAATAGTTTTGCAGTTGTTAATGAACTTAACGGAATATAATATATTTTTTGAAATCAGTCGTACTTACTGGAATATAATATATTTTTGGAAACCAGTCATATAGTCAGAGTGAATGCCAATATACAACTATTGAAGTGGAAAAGTTTTTAAAATCATCACGTATTTTAAAAAATTAAAGCATAGATCAGATACATAGATCAGGCAGAAGAATTGAATCTGCTCTTTCCCCCAAGATTACACCAGAGAATTAAATATACATAATTTCATTCGTTATTAAAGCTTCACAATTATTTATAAAGAAAAAAATTTGTTAAAATTAATAAAATTATATAAAACTCCTCTGTTTTATATTGTTTTTGTCTTTGTTGTATTTCGTCACACTCTAGATTCTTAAGTCTTTGTGTTGAATGCTTATATCTTACTTTATAACAAGAAAGTAGTTGTATACAAAAAAAGTATATATTTAAGTAGTATTGGTTACTTTTTATATAAAAATCAGACTTAAATTCAATCTTATCAGAGAAAAGTATGAATAGTTCAAGTAATTGAAGGGTTTAAATAACTCTCTGAATGGTTTACTTAAAGCATGTTGCAGAGTATCATTTTTGTCATTCAAGAGAGAAAATCTAAGAACGACACTCAAAAATTATTGTCTGCACCTTTGAATGACACGCAACCAACATGTTGTGAATGATAATTGCCCAAAAACTTACATTCGTCGTGAAGAGGATATTTTTAAATGGTTGCACTAACACACTTACAGCTTGTGAAACACACTTACAGCGTGCGTAAACACCCTTATTCTTCAAAAATTTAGCTTGAATGACAACTAAACAACTAATGAATTTCCAAAATGGTAGTCTGCATCACCCTGAATATTTTTTTTAAATAACTTCTGCATAAAAATAAAACACTAATCTTATTTAAAAATTAAAAAGAACGATTGTGACTTAAAATTGTATTACAATATAAAGTTTCTCTCAATTTTTTGACTCTCTATATGTACTTTCTATATATAAAAATTATGCTTCATACTTTTTTTATAGATAGTTTTGTAAAAATTAATAAAACTTAATAAACAAAGACTCAATACACAAACCAATATTTTAAACTTTTAACGAACGCACAAAAGTATGCTTCTTTTATATATTATTTGTATACATTGTGAAAACTTTTTTTTTTGCACTCTTATCTGTTAAATAGCGAGGCAAAGTTCTACGTTAATGAAGCACTTGAGTCGTCACTTCATAAAAACATTTATCTATCAATTGAGAATTGTAAAGAATTAGGATTTTATGAAAATTATTTTAGATTAAATAAAGGCATTTGAAGGCGTTTGAACTCGTGTTATTATAAATATTCAGTGTTCGAAGTGCTCCCTTCAATTGAACTGGTGCTATCAAGTAATGTTATCTACTCAATGCCAAATTCCAACTATGATTTTTATTATTTTGAATTAATTTCAATTGTCTTGTATGGCGCAATATAATTAATTCGGTTTGAACATATTCATTGAGTTAATTGAAAAGAAACATACGCAACTCTTAAGGAAATATGGTCACGTTGCGTATGAGTAACATATTTTTCCCAAATACTATGCACGTTTTTAAAATAATTATTAAAGTTATTTCCAAGCTGTTTATTTTATCTAATTAAAATATTAATTAAAATAAAATACATAATAAATAAATTATCGTGATTCAACATATTTAAAGTTAAAGTCTTGCGGAATTAAATTCGAAGTCCTGTTTATTTTTATGGTAATTTAATAATATTTTTACAAATTAATTGGTATTGGATATTGTCACGATTTTTAACTCATCACAAAAATTAACTTAAATTTACTTACACAAAAAGAGAAAAATGTTAATAAATTTTTATGAAAAATTAATGACAAATGATTTTGTCTAAAATATCATCCAAGAATTTTTGAAAGCATAATAGTTTGTTTATATCTTACAAATAAAATAATTAAGTTTATTAAAAAGATAGTAAAATTATTTTCTGTTAATTTTTTAATTTCTAGTTATTTTGTATTTCACAATATTGTTAATTATGTGTATATAAAATTTGCTAATAATTTTTAAGGCACTGACGTCAGTACGTCGGAGACCCTACAGAGAACATTGAAGATTGATCAGCAGGAGCAGATAATTTAAGTTAGTCAGGATCGTGTCAGTAATTTATTTATTTAATTATGAACATTTATTGTTATAAGTGATTTTATATGTTGACAATAGCTTAAGGATGAATCAATTATAAATAATAATAAAATTTTTATTTGCATATGTAAGTTTGGTAAGAAATTTAACATTTTATAAAACCTTTTTAGTTTTAAATGATATCAATATAGTTCCATATAATCAAATTCATTGAAATTTATGCATAATAATTTAAATACACAAATTTAAATTTAATATTCTTAATTTAATGTTAATTTAAATAATAAATTATATACTATGGATATTGCTAATGGACTATGTTTTTAGTTTAATAAAACCATCATTCAAGAACATAACTTTGTTTTAATCGCCGTATCTAAACATATTGCTGTAATGATATTTTATAAATTATTAAAATACACTTCAATGGATTCCAGAACTTCTTCAAATAAATCAAAATGTTTGGATTTATTTTTAATTAGAGAATCACATTCTAGGTATAAGTACTCGTAAATCTTTTAGTACAAAAGTAAGTTTTTTGATATTTCATATCACTGGTATTGCGAAGCTTTTTGAGTTTTTCCTTAGCGAAGTTATATAAGCTTCGTAACGTTAGCGATATAATATAATAAATATCTAAAATTACATGGGACATAGTTGTAAATATATTATTTATCATGTAACCACCCCTCAATATGTTGTACAACAACAATAATATATTTGCTTATAATATGAAATAAAATAATGATAATACATAAAAAAAATTTGTTATTGTTTTAATATATCATTTACAGCGAATTATACGATATATAGAACAAAAAAAGAACAAAATTGATTGTGTGAATGATTGTCACATTGAATTCCAGGTGATATGAACTGCAAATATTTTGATAGCTTTGAGTTTGCTATGCTAGCAATATGATATCGATATCATATCATATTCATCATTAGATTCGAGTTTTATGGCATACAAATCAATTGATGGCATTAGACTTGGTCAATTTGTGAAATAATTCAGAGAAAGAAGAAGAAAGTAGGATCTGTATTCACTTAGATTTACTTGATAAACAGTATCATTTAGTTATCGTAAAATTACTTAAAACTAAGTTAAGTTAAAAAACATCTAGATATAGTTTTCAATTTTTTACTTAAGCAGCTAGTAAATATATGTATTGGGTAGTATAAAAAGTATTCGTTGTTATTTGATACATTGTTGAACTTTTTAAAAAGTAAAAAGTTAAAGTATTTTTTAAAAACTAATTATTTAGAGTGGAGTCTAATTGAGTTAGAGTGGAAACCACAGGGCTGGCGAGGTAGAGATGGGCCGAAAAATACTTGGCGCAGAACTGTCACAAACGAAACGAGAAAATCTTTTATCGAGCTTAGAGCAATAGTTCTTCAGTGCAATAACTGGAAAGCTTTTATAAATATTATAATGTAAATTCGATTTACATAAAATATTCTTTGTAAATAGACTAAATTTGTAATTTTGTTAAAATACAAGTATGTCCTAATAATAATAATAATTATTATTTATAAACTTTTGTTAGTTTTCAGGTAGCTACATAGTGTCATCGGTGTAGAACTTCTGTCGTTTATCAGCGAAAAATTGGGTCAAGTGATTAAACTGAGCCAAGTGATTTGCAGCAACAATTTATTCCGAGTCATCAAAGATAGATGTGGGCTGACATTATCGTAATGGATGGGAACAACTTTTCTGTTGACCAATTTTGGTGGCTGTTTTTTAACGTTTCGTTCACGTGGACGAGTTGTAAGCAGAATAGGACCGCATTAAGCGTTGCACCAGTCTTGTAGTAGATATTTATATAATATTTAATATATATTTATTATTTTATCTGCCCTATGCTCCTTCTAGGAGTTAAAGGATTCAATGTATATATATATTTTTATTATTTTAATATAGTTTTTAAAGTCAATAATGGTGGAATAATAATGTTGAATAATGGCGAACTACATATATTATTAATTGAATATAATAATTAGAATATTATAGAATATTATTTACTATATTTTATATTTACAATATTAGAAAATATTCAGATTTACCAACTGTAGTTTTTTATTGCATTCATTATTTAGTTTGCGCACCGACTTTTTCTTCTATTTGCCAAATTATTCAAACGAAATAAATAATGTCAACATCATTCTGAGCGCAAATTTACTATCGCTGAACTACATACATATTTTTTCTGTTTACAATTTTCATAAAAAAACGAATTAAAAATTCACAGAACTTTCTTTGCTCAGTGCGCATGCTTCTTACACTGCTTCCCACTGTTTCTCGTCGTTCTGCTTGTTACGCATTACAAAGCCAGAGCACACCATAAAAAATCGAACTGTTGTTGTAGTTAGTCCGCACCAGACAGAACAAATTACTCACTCTCCAATTACACGCTGACAATAAATAAAATTAACAACAGCACCAACAACAACAACAATAACAAAAACATTCAACAACAATTGAAAATGCTTCTCAGTCGTGGCTTATAAGCCTCAGTTCGCAAAAGGAAAAATGCGGTATTTTCTTGTTTCTTTATCGGCCTTTGCGTTTGTCTCATTACAGCGTTTGCCGGAGGTTGCGCTGAATTTGCTTTATTTGTTGTTTTTTTTTTCAATAAAAATAAATCGACGTCGACAATATATTCTGTATATTCTGTTGCTGTGCTCAGAAAAGTAATTAAAAAAAATACACAGTAGCTCAACGCGGCGCTTATTTATCTTAACATATTTACAAATCATCACATATATGTGTGTAGATGTTCATATATATATAAAGCAAAGTGTGAGCACATGTATTCAGATATTTGCTGACAAACAATGAGCAAACAAAATAGAAATTCAATTTAACATTTTAATTTGCAACACCGTGCCGTGCTGAGCGATTTCGCCAAAATCGCTACGGAACTTTGAAAAATTACGATAATTAAAATAAAATAAAGAAATTAAGATAAATATTAAATATTATTTAACTTTTTCTATACAAAGAAAAAATGTGTTTTCGTGTTAAAAACGATTTTTCGAAACAAAACATTTCTCACGAAATTTGTTAAAAACTAAAAAAAAAATAAAAACTTTTGCATGCTTTCTCTATAAATTGTGATAAAATTTCCTTTTTTAATTTTTTTGAATAGTTTTTTAATAATTTTTTAAAATTATTTAATCAATTTCAAAATGAGTGCCTTAAACTTAGCAAATATCACAAAAAGTGATGACGGTGCCGATGAAAAATGTAAGTTAAAAAAATTGATTTTTTTCGAAATATTTTGAAAATATTACCATATGTACCATACGGTTGGTGATATATCACTGAAATATTAAAAATAACAAAAAAAAAAAATCTCATTAAAACGCCATCAAAGATACCCACAATTTATATAAATATATAGACTTTATTAGCAAATATTGGTTTTATATGTTCATATGTCCATATGATCAGTGGTTGGTGATATATCACTTTAATATTACAAAATAAAAAGAAAACATCATTAGAACACAACCAACACTACCCACAACTTACATATATAAATATATAGACTTTATTAGCAAATATTTGATTTATATGTTCACATGTCCATATGTTCAGCGGTTGGTAATATATCACTGAAATATTAAAAAAGAAAAAAATATATATCAGAACACAAATACAAATACCCACAACTTATATAAATATATAGACTTTATTAGCAAATATTCGTTTTCTAAACTAATGTTCCATGAAGCAACTTCCAGTGACACGCGATAAAATCAAATAGAAAATTAAAAACTGTTTTAAAGGAAAACTATTTTGAGATAAATTTGTTTGATTAAAAATTAGTTTTATTTTTATTTCATGACAAAAAATTTATTTCAAATAGAAAAGATGGTAATAGTAAAAAAATTAAAAACAAACAACTTTAATTTTTCCTAACACACCGTCAAATATATACAAATATACTTTATAAAAAATAATGTTAAAATAAATATACAATAATATTTAGCCTGAAATGTGACCTTTCAAAAACGTGGTGGTTTGACATAATCGAATTAGTGTTGCCAGACATATGGACACCAACAGGATCTAGTGAGAAAATATGGCGGATAATATTTATTATACATAATTTAATATTTACAATTTATAATTTTAATTTATAATTAATTTTTAATATAACTGCATATATCAAGAACTTTATACTATTTTTTCAAATTTAATTAGCAGAATCTGCAGTCATATACAGCAGAGATGTTAAAAAGTGTGTACAATTCCAAATACATACATTTGATAAAAATTTTTATTGGGCAGTCATAAATTAAGTTTTTAGATTAATTAAAATAAAATTATAGTCATTAGTAAACTATCTTGGTGGCCAACCAACACCTTAGCATAAATAGTATTGAGTACGGTTTAGGGACTTTGACGAAGAATCAGGTCACAGAAAAAAAGTCTTGGTGTGATAATTTATAATTACCAGCTGCTTACAATGTTTTAGCTTCAGCCCAGATACTTTTCAATCTGTTTTAGATATCCTGAACAATAATCAGGTTCCAACAAATATCCCTAACTGTAACGTTTTAAAATTACTGGAGTAATAGAGCAACAGCACTAGCTGTCTTCTCTCTGGTTAAGTGAGCTAAGTTAAGTTGAAATGGTAGTCCTATGCACCTTGGCTCACCTGAGCACAATTAAGGGGCAGTTATGATACCACGGATAAACCAATTATTTAAGAAGTTATTATCTTCTTTTTGAAACTTGAATACGAGCAGCTATCCTACATCCACATTATACTATGAGTTGGATTCCTGCCTGAAATATACAATTTTTCTCATTGCATGCTTAACTTCATCAAGGTTGGTCACCTTTGTTTGAAAGCTCATAGGTATGTTTCAAGTAAGTTTCCCACGAAGCAAAATTATATTAAAGTTTATTATTTCTTAACTTCAAAAAGGTTAAGAACCACTACTCTAATATTCTATACCCACTTAATTATTTAATACACAAATTATGTTATATCTTTGAGTACGTGTTTTACTTCTTTGAAAAAAATATAATAAAAGTTTAAGAAAGTTATAGGTTAAACTTATTAAAAATAATGTCAGTATAAAAATTTTAACGAGTGCCTCTATAAGTAATACAAAGTTAAGCTTAAATGTAGACTTTTTACTTTTCAGTATTATTTTATTTTAAAAATTAGAAAATAAAAAAATAGAATACATTAGAATCCAGTAAGTAAAAAAAACTAAAAAATAATATCTTGTACTTTGTCAAAGTTTCAAAGTTCATGAAAAGAAATTTAATTAAAGAGTAATTTACTTAATTTATTTATGGTTAAGAACCATCTTCGTTATATATTAAAAATATTTATATAAATATTAAATACTTATATTTGTGACCAAAAATTATTATTATAATAATTTGTTACCGGGCTAATTGGTCAAATTTTAATATAAATAAAAAGACACTAATTTATTATTTATATTTAAAAATAAAATATAAACGATTTTTAAATATAAATAATAAATTAGTGTCTTTTTATTTATATTAAAATTTGACCAATTAGCCCGGTAACAAATTATTATAAAAATATTTATATTAATAAATAGTATGAGAATATTAAAATAATGTTTAACCGTGCCCGTTCAGCTACGGAAGGGATTTTAACCATAGTTAAACGGAACTGAAGTTCTTTGCGGATGAGTCATCGTATCATCATTCTAATAAAATGAGTCCAAGTTCTAAGAAGAGAGAATATTGTTTTTATTGGAGGTGAATGAGACCTCTACTCACATTCTTTATGACATTCTCATCTGGATCAGTCGGAGACTGCTAGATTGAGAGCTCTTAGTCCGAAGTTAGGATGTCCTCATCTACTGACATTTTGGCTTTTATGTCTTCTTTTTAGTTATGTTCGCAGTACTCTGCTCTCTATGAAACAAATATCCAGTTTCATTTATATCTTTTTTATATCTATTACAATTTATTGACTATATATTACATAAAGAAATGTCACAAAATAATAAGTTCTACATTAAATACATTAATTATTACTTTAATTGAACCATATCCAATATGCAAGTGAACTATACTAAATGCATACAATGTGATCAAGTTATTATCCATTTTATTCAGCTCTTGAAATAATATAACGTCCATGAACATATGCAGAGGATCAAATGTATTAAAATTAAGTCGAAAAATGAATGATAATGTTTGTATATGGTATATTATGTATGCATATTAGATTTTATATCAAAAATTTAACGTTTATTTATAGCTAAAAAAAATGGAAGATTAATAATGGTTGTTTATAATTTTTAATTAATTAAATAATTATTAGATAATTACTAAAATTTAATTTCGGTGAAGGTTATTGGAGTTTTAGTAAAGCCATAGCCATAGGTTTTTTCTTGTTTGAAGATCACTACAAAGCTGTCTCTCTCCCTCTCTGTTTTTTCATTTTTAAAAATTTTATAATTTATTTAATTATAAGCAAAATATATTTATTTAATTTTTTAATTAATTTTTATTGTTTTATTTTTGGTTTAACAGTTATATTTATTTTGCTAAATATAATTAAGTTATAACTAAGTATTAGTTATAATGAGATAAATCAAGTCAATATGTGCCATATTTCATTATGGTAGACGATAATTATTTTTATAAGTCAACCACTTCAAATATAATAATTTAGTAGACATTATTTTTTTTTTTTTGCGCTACAATAGTTTTTTATTATCACAAAGAAATATAAAGCTTTGATTATCTCCCAACTAAAGTACAAAAAGAAAAGAAAAACAACTTCTTTTGTAGTTCACATTGATAACAATATTAATAATTATTTTAAAATGTATATAGAGTTATATAGACAGACTGTAGATAACAAATATAAAATAAACATTAAAACATGTATAAGGATATATGCAGTATCAGTAGTCCATTAACAATGTCATTATTTATGTGTGGGAATATAAAATTTCTTCAATGCATTTTTTCAAATCTATAAAATCTATGTAATAATTCAGTATAAGTGAAATTATCACTCAAAAGAGCTATGATCTAATACAAATGGAAGTTGTAGCTTTTGTATAAAAGAGTATGTCACTGCGAAAGACGTGCTAGGAACTTACCTGTCACTGATTCATAAACGAAACATATACCTTGATGGTTATCTTATACCGGACAAAGAAATAATACTCAATAGAGTAAATTAAATTGAATCTATGAAGGGGAAATAATATATGTTAAGGTTGCAATATAAAATCCTCCAGTATATATCCTCCAATATATACAATCCTCCATAATGTCACATAATACTGTATAAATGAAAGCTTCTTTTATGTAATTACTCTTTCCAGTAATAAGAAATTAGTTAGTGAACCATATTTAATAGAACTTTTAAACATAATAGCTATTTACTTTAGATAGATAAATTTACAAAGAGAAATTGTGTTAAATAATATTAATAAATTAATGGTTTTGGTTAAAATGAAAAAAAGGACTGTGACCATTACAGATCTCTGTACCGTAAGTCCATAAACTGAACAGAAGTCATTCTATTTGCCTAATAGTTTGTTCTATAATTCTGTGAAATAGATATGAAACAAACGGACTTCTCCAACAAAAATGGCAAATCAGCAATTCCTTCAATTTATGGATAACATCCCAATAGTAGCGGTTAGGTAGCACCTTTTCATTTGATGACAATCGTTTTCCACGAACGAATTTTTTGAGAGGTAAGAAATGCCAGAAGTCAAAGACAACTAAATGTAGTGAATAGGCTGGTTTTTTTTTAGTAGTTATTTCTTTAATTTGTCTGAATTTTGCGGTAGTTATTTGCGCTGATGAACAGATGTATTGTCTTGATGGAAAATAAGTTTTCTTTTCTGTTAATCGAATTTATTTTCAAAAATTTTTGCATTAAGTTTGACCAAAAGATTATAATAATAATCCCTAGATATTGTAATAAAACTTAGAACTTTGATTTTAGTCAAAATATTCTCCTCTTGGTAAAGATATATACAGTAGTAAATAATTAATACTTTAATAACATTAATTATTTTAATATAAAATACAAAAAAAAAAATTTTAGGAATTTTATTTTCTAATTAAAAAACTTTTTTCTCATATTCGTTTGCACGATTTGCAATTATCGCATATTAACAGTTAATTTTACAGATTCAACTTGGGAAACTATTTATCTCCGGAAAATAAAGACAAATAGAATTGTCAAATTTTGTATGCATAGAGTGGGAATA